GCGATCCTCGCTAGTACCTGAAACACATATCACATAACACGGTAAGCATAAATGCTTAGTGAGTTCCCAAAAATACCACATACATCACTTAAGCCACCCGAGGCTATAACTCGATAAGACCCTCTGGTCAATGTGTCTCAGCGGGACCCTCCAGTCACGTAGCTCGTTGGACCCTCCGGTCCGGTCTAGCTCGTTGGACCCTCTGGTCCGATCTAAATCGTTGGACCCTCCGATCCGGTCTAAATATCGCATAACATACATAAATCACAATACACATAATCTCAAGTAAACACATAACACATAAGACCCTCCGGTCTGCACATGGATACCACTCTAGGTAATGTATAGTGAGAAGACTCACCTCGTATGATGTCTAGTAAACTCTCGTGCTCGATATCCCCGACCTAGCCTCCGCCTATCAAGATGATAATATCTCTAATCAATACTCTCCTCATGTTCTCATCTCTAAAGAATGGGTAGAATACCATTCTACCCCTCCATGGCCTCTCTTGAATCAGTGTGACCAAGCCCCCAAGGTCAACTGAAGTCAACCCAGTCAACGGTCCAACTTTGACCAGACTCGTCGAGTGCACTCGGGTGACTCGGCGAGTCCATGCGTGTCCTCTGAATCCTCCTAAGGCCTCACTCGACTCGTCGAGTTAACCTTTCACTCGACGGGTTTCCACTGATAACGAATCACGAGGCAACCCGATCCGACTCGTCGAGTTCTCTCATGGACTCGGCGAGTTTCCTCCATGGCAATACTCATTTGGCCTTCTGAGGTCAGATCTGTTTCTCTAACTTATAGATCTGACCTTCTAACACCCAAAAATCACATAAAGGTCTGAACTTGAGGCTCATGCATGGTGTATTTTGCTCTATAGACCATTATGACTCCATTGAAGCATCATAGCTTCAAGGTTCCAAAGTTACTCACTCAAAGCTACCTACTTTCTGGTTCTCTGGACCTCACAAGGTCCAGATCTACAAAATAACCCGAAAAAGGGTTTGGATGCACCCAAAACCCCATCCAAAAGGTGATACAAGCCCTAACTCAACAACCAAAGGAGGCTATAAGTGCCTTTAAATAGGCCCAAGCCCGAAATAATTAGGGTTTCTGCCAACAACGCTGACTCGGCCCAAGGAGGCTATAAGTGCCTTTAAATAGGCCCAAGCCCGAAATAATTAGGGTTTCTGCCAACAACGCTGACTTGGCCCAAGGAGGCTATAAGTGCCTTTAAATAGGCCCAAGCCCGAAATAATTAGGGTTTCTGCCAACAACGCTGACTCGGCCAGTCAGCGTGTCGACTCGTCGAGTCCATTCATTTTCCACGTCACCAAGTCGCGATCCTACTCGACGAGTTAAGGCGCCAACTCGTCGAGTCACTCCTCATAACTTTAGAAAATTATACTCATTTTATCATACCTGGAAATCCGGATGTTACAGTTTATAATCCAATTTAATCATTTTTTTAAAGATAGATGCAAGTAGAATTGTAGCATTTACATTTACTCCTCGGATTCAATTGGATTGGACCTAATTAAATGATCCTTAAAGTGGTCAAAGGCGTGAATTTAGCTTTGTCGAAAATGGGATTTGGGCTATTCATATTTAACATTAGTCATATTTTCTATTTTTTTTACTACGTTTATCAAAAAATATAAAGATACGTATTATTTTAACAAAATATAGTCAAAACATAACATCATCACTTTCAAGAAAGAAAAAACGTTGGTTTTTTGAAAATGTAGGCGACTACAACAATCAATTATATCTAAATGCAATTTGAAGTAAGGTTTTACTTTTTTTTAACTATGTAATATTGACCATCATGATAAAAAATTGTGTATCAAAGTAATCTAATTAATAATTTTTGTTTTTAGTAACAAGTAACTTATAAATTTGGTGCTAAAGTTATTATTGTTTATCGGATTAGTTCAAGCTTAAAAAATATACGATTTTAAAAATAAAAAAGAAAGCAGTTAAATATAATTAACAACTTTGCAAAATGAACCTAATGACTTCTAGACAAAATCAATTTATTTCCAAAAACTGTAATTTTCAGCAAGCAAGTAAGAAAATGTGTAATTTCAATATTGTTTAATCTTTATTTTTAGTTAATAAAATATCTATTGTATTTTGGTTGAACTAGAAAATTTCAAATGTGAACTTTTAGAAATTATCTATTGTATTTTCGTTAAACATTATATTTTTGTTGCTGGTCGTGAGACGTGGAATACGAACACAAACCTTGGATTCTAGCATAGAAATGTCTAGACCTGGCAATGGGACGGGTTTTGAGCGAATCGACCTTAATCCAAACTCATTTAACAAATTTGAAAATCCAATCCAAACCCGTTCCGTAACCCGTAGGGTTTTGAATAATCAAACCCATACCCTTATCTACCGAATCAATAGATATCCAAACCCGCCCCATAACCCATAGTTTTTTTGAATAATCAAACAAAAATGTTTATTTAGAAAACTCATTACATACTCGAGGACTTTCTATTGGAATTAAAGTCACTATTGTAGTAACTTCCGATTGATTTTTGAATGTTGAATGCTACGATAGAGAGTAGCAATTGCAACTTTCTTCAGGTTGATAATGACTTTATTGATTTATAAATGAAATTAGTGATTGCTTGATGAAATATTAATGAAATGATACCCTGACTATTGTTAATAAACCATCTAGAAGTTGACTCCTAGAGTCATGTGTAAAAATAATTTGGTCTTTGGCTTTTTTTCCCTTTCGACTTTCGATTAGAATTAAAATTAATATTTAGACATGATAAAATATAAACGTATAATTCTAAAATTTATACGTGCGGGTTATAAATGGATCGGATCGATGATGATCCATACCCGACCATTTTAATAAAAGGGTTAACGGGTACGGGTCGTTAACGGATAAACGGATCAAAAACTATGTTCCAAACCCATATAATTCTTAAGGGTTTGAATCGGATCAGGTCAAAACCCGCTCTATTGCCAGACCTAGAAATGTTGCCTCTTTGGCCTTCGATTATCAAGTTGCGGTGAACTATAAATATGAAAGCACTAACCGATCCATGATTCTTAGACTATCTATTATGTGTCGGTGATGGAGTTGAATAAACGGTGCACGAAAACTTTATTCACATCCCTATGATATGGTAATTCTCTTTCCTAAAATAGGAAAGTCATTGAATGTTTTGATTGATACAATCTTTCCATCATTGTAAATTAATAGACCTGAATCAGATTATATTATTTAACGTGCAATATTATCCACAAGAAATGATAGTGTCGACGAGATTAGTAATTATTTGATCGGCCAATTCCATGGAGAAGAGAGAATTACTATAGTTTTGATGAAGACATAAACGATATAAATTACTTATACCTTGTGGAATTCTTGAACACACTCTGTTTACCACCTCATTATTTATATTCAAACAAAATAAGTAAATAACAATAAAAAACTATCATATTTATTAATTTTGTTAGGATATACATAATATTAACAAATTTTAATACAGATAATAATATCCGCCTAGGCGCCGATTAGTTGCTTGACCTCACTCAACCGCTTAGACCGGTCATGGGACTCCTTCTTGGTGTCGGTTTATCAATTACCCTTCTGTTGTGACAAAATAACACAAATCATAATTATATTGTAAAAATGAAGATTTAATCATGTTTAGATAAAATAGTACATTTATATAAAAAAACTAAACAATGTACATTTATTTTTAATAGAAACTAATTAATGTGAGGTCGTTTGGTTTCTTCTAATCCCGTTAAAAGATGAGGAATAATACATTCATTTACGTTTATCGCATATTAGTGGCTTTACATATTCTGAAGATCTTTATACCGTCAACAACATAAAACACCAAACTATTTGCACAAAAGAACTAATCATCACTAGAAAACTAATTTCTGACTAACATATTCGCACCCGGCGCTGGTAAACGGCTACTATATATATATATATATATATATATATATATATATATATATATATATATATATATATATATATATATATATTCGGATGGGAGTGTTATGATTCAAGTGAGACCACTTGGATTCTAGTAGTATGAAACTGAATCTTTTTATAGCAAATTCATTCCAAGGATAGGCTGAGGTATTTGGAGTAGTTGATTTAACCGGAGGAGAGCTCGTGTACTGTCTCGATCATTTGGTGGTTGTAGATACTACGTCTGTGGGGGCGAAAGGAGGATACATAGCCGCCCAAGAAATATACTATTTAAATAAGCAAAGACTTAGAATAAGGTTGCTTGATAACATCTTAATGAAACCATTCAGATGTCATGTCATATGCCATCTTTGTATCGGTCACATTAAATGTGTTTGATATAGTCTCTAAATGACCTCCTAATGAATCAAAACCTTCTTAACTGTTAAGGAACATATTTAATTCTCTTCATCATTAAGAGGTTGGAAACATTTAACATTAAATTGTTCAATTTTATCAAACAGCCTCTAAATCTGAATACATTTACAAAAACACTTATTAAAGTTTTGGGGGTTTATAAGACGCCATAAAGACATTGCAAACAGTCGATGGTTCCGAGTTATTTAGTGCATTTGTCTTTTGGGGTTTATAGAGCAATAAAGACATTACAAACATATTTATGTATATAATAGCAATTAGTTGAGTTAGTATTTAGTTGGTTTTAACTTGTAAACAATAAAGTAGATGTCTATAGATGCTCATAAAAGTTGCAAATTGAAAATGTGTTCTTCACATTTTATCGTTGCATTTCACATATCACAGATAATGGCAAAAACAAATTTGATAGAGATGAAGTTATCAATTATGTGTATATCTTTTTTTCCATTGTAACAGCCAAATAACCTTTCTGGCCTGCAATGGAATCACCCATTCCATTCCATTCCTCCATACCAAAAAAGGCACCATAATTTGTCAATGGACTCCATAAGCAATGGAATCGTCCATTCCATCTCTCCACTTCCATGGCAATCATCAACTTTCATCAGTGTCACAAGACTCACCACCACTTTCCATTTCTGATTCCGATTCCGTACCTTCATTCCCTTCATTGATTCCATCCAAATCATTGCTCACCCTTTCCCTCCTGTAATAAACAAGCTGACGTTCCATATTAGGCCTCCTCAAAGTAATCATTTTAGCCAAATTCCTTCTAGCCAAATACAACTCATTAGGCTCAATCAACTCCCCTCTATTATAAGCCTCTCTAAGAAAAATCGTATGAAGCTTCCCATAATTCCCTCTAGTAGATATATAAAACACACCCTGATGTTGAAGAAGAAAATCTTTAAGCTTTTTAGGCAGATTCATTGTAACCCTAAAATGAGCAATCCTCTCCAAACTAATCTTCTTCTCAACAGTTAAAGACAAAATCTCATGAATCATTGCAATCGCCCTCTTCTCCATTCTCTTTTCAGCTTCAAGTGATCTCATATCATAACCAGACACATCTTCATATGGTGACCAATAAGGAAGCCTTTGCCATTTCCAAACAGCAATCTTGTAATACTTCCCAGTTCTGAAACCAGGTGGAAAGTTTATAAGAAATGAGAATCTAATGTTTTCAGCATCTCCACCTTTTTCTCTGTATTCTTTTTCCCTGATCTTCTCTATAGCACAAACAGCTAAATCTGGATCTCTTTCTACTATCTCGATGTACTTGGTTTTGCTTTCTTTATCTTCAAACAATCGGAAAAATTGTGGGTGTTTTAGAATTATCGAGAATTCAAAGTCATCTGGAAGTCCGAACTCTCTGCTAGCAATTCGAACATGGTCAAGCCCTAGTTGTCCGGTGTTTGATAGCATTAGGAGCTTCCTTAATCTGGTGACAGCATGGTCGATTTGGTTAATTAGAGCTTCGTTTTCTTGTTGGATTTGGATTAGGGCTTTTCGTGTAAGTCTGCAATAAAGGATTCTTTGAACTGGGTGTTCAAAAACATCGAAAATGTGAGGGAATTTGAGGATGAAACGACCTGCTTCGAATTGTTTGAAGCCGAGTCTGCGGGAGAGGTTGTCTAGACGAGCAGAGGAAACCATGGAGTTGGGTTGAGAGAGGATGAGTTCTTGAACTTTGAGGACTTTGCGTATTTTTTTCTCGATTTCCATGTAGTTATCGTATCCATGGTCTCGAACTCGTTGTTGCTTTTTGGGTATTGAGGTTGATTGTGAAAAATCGCGAAGACAGCAAGGAGTGAATTTTTGGGGGTTTTGAGATTTCGAGATTGATTGTAGAACTCGGATTGAACGAGGGAAGATCATGTGCATTTTGAAGATGGGTTTTGAGGGATTTAGGGTTTAAGGACATGTAAAGTATCTTCTTACCTTTACACTTGAGAATCAGATCAATTGAAACCAATGCCCCAGCCATGAATCAGGATACATCTTCTAGCGATTGAAGCTGCAGATAAGAACAAAAAAAAAAAAATAAATAAGGAAACAACAAACAATCAAAGGTGGGAATTTCTACAGGAACATAATTCGATATACTTTAACCATTTAAGCTCTGATTTACTGGTTACAAAAGCAGAAAAATCATTACTTAAATGATTAGTGCATTGAATTGCATACATGTAAACCATTATAGCACAGATAATCAAGCAATCAACAACTTGAAATTGAAGCAATGAAACTGAAAGGGAAGATATTTGACAAAATTACCTGATTGTCAGGGGTAAACGATTTCTTAAGAAGAACCGAAGAATCGGCTTCAGGATATTACCGTTGATTCAAAATTTGACCTAAACGGGTCAAACCTCTTGTTAGTTACTGAATTGTTTGATCCTTATTTAGTTGTTTTATTATGGGCTATGGCCCAATCTCAAAAATAGTCCTTAGTCTTGGGTCGGGCTTAGGACGGCCCGGTTTTTTTCTTCTGTAATCGGTTTTTGTTCAGACCGCTCTCAGTCGGTCCTTTGACCACACACAGTCGGTCCTTTGACCGTACAATTTTTTCGAATCGGTCTCGGTCTAGACCAGTCTGATCACACGGTCTTTCTATTCGCTTAATTCAATTTAGATTAATGATTTTTTGTTATGTTTTCGGTTTTTTGTTTTTGTTTTTCATTTTTTTTATTTCACCCTTTTTGTTAGGTTGTGGTTAGGTGTTGGTTAATTTAATACTATCATAAAGGAAGTAATGAGGTAGTAATAAGGTAAAAAAAATACGGTTTAATTTTATGATATTAATAATGTAATAAAAAATACATATATCCATGTAAAAATATGGTTTAAATAATACAAATAAGTACTTATAAATGACTATGTTTTTTTTAATGTAAATACATACGTTTTTATTAAAATCTGTATTTATATGCAAAAAAATAAATAAATAAAATAAAAAATCACATACTTGTTTGTAAAAATATCATCGCTTCAAAAGAAGTTTTAATGTGTAAATAAGTATTTGATTATGGGCCCTGAACGATTAGTCAATTACTCAGGCTAGAGATGGGCAAAAGGTCCAGTTTATATTTAGATGAGCGTATCGTTCAAATCACCCAATGTTGCCCGACTTTCACATTTTATTTTATTTTTTTTGCTTCGATGCATAACATCTTGTATATGATGTTTCAGTAACACCAAGTCTCAAGTTCGATTATTGATCTCTTTACGATTCATAATTTTTTTTTTAAGTTTTAAGATCAATTGTAAGACCAAACTCACTATTTATATCCAATAATTTCGATGGAAGAATGTATATGATATTTTGTTTAGTTTCTTTTAACCATGTTCAAGATCTTAAGATTTAAAATTTTAAGTTTACATATTTTAAGTACTAGTTATTAAAATTACCGGTTTAAATTTATAAAACATTTATATTCTCTTGGATGGTAAGCGGCTGTCTGACGGCGGTCAAGATCCACCGAGGTGAATGTCAGGATTTCTTGGGATTAACATTCTAAGGATAGATTCAATTGTGTATTCATGAAGATTGATTGATCAATATTTCAAGAATGTCAATTACGAACAATTAGGTGGATGTCAACAGAGGAATCGAGGGGAAGATAACATAAGGAGTGCTAAGGAGAGGCGGGAACCAAGGGCATCGGTTACAACCCTAGAAACGAATTTTATCTCATATGTTAAAACCTATGTAATCGGTATACGTGACGAAATTTGTTAGAAACATGATTTGCATAACTTTAGTGATATTGATAAAGTTGTTGAAACTGTAAATGCTACTCGATATATGTTGGTGGAACGACATATCATCTAAAAAAATTAAAAGACATCGACAAGCTCGAGTCATTTAATATGAATCAAAATACAAAGATAAAGTAGAGTATTGAATGAAACGAGAACTCGAAGTTTTTCCATGGAATTTAAAAAAAGAAGATGATCAATTTTCTATATATGGAGTCAACAACATGGGTATATTACTGATATGAGTCGGGTTAAATAGGTATTCCATAAATTTTATAAAGAAATTTTCAGAAAGTTTGAATGACATACAATTAAAAACTGAAGGCACATATACAAGTGCTTGACTTGGACTCATTATGTTTATTTTGAATTTGGTTTCACGGTGCAAAATGCTAAAGATGAAGTTTGGTCTTGTGGTAGTGACAAAACTTCTGGCCTTGATGGTTTTCCTTTTAGTTTCTTAAAACCTTATTGGGATATCATGCAACATGATATTATGGAGTTTCGTGAGGATTTTTTTATTCACAGGGTATGCCTAACAACTGTAATTCCTTGTTTGTAACTTTGTCTCAAAGAGTGACAGTCATATGTTGGTTACAAAATTTAGACCTATTAGTCTAATCGGTTTGTAGTACACAATTATTGCCAAAGTTATTGGAAATTTATTTAGCTTGTGCGTTCAACAATGTTGTTAGTATGGAGCAGTTGACCTTTGAGAAGGGTCATCAAATTTTGGATGGGCCGCTATAAATTTTTTTTGGAGCAGTTGACCTTCCGGTTAATCTCCCTGTTCTATTAAAAAATAGTTTTATTCTCCTTTTAATATGTGTCATTATATTAGGTTTCCTAGTTAATGCATGTTTTATTATTTTTTTGCCATATGTCACCATATTATGTCTCCTAATTAATTCATGTCACTTGTCAACCTATTGATTCACCATTTTAAATTTCAAATTTTAAATTTTTCACTCTAATTACATTAAATTAATAACATTAGAATAAAAATTAAAATAAAATTAATACAAATTATAAAGTGATGTAATTTTATATATTTATTTAAATCATTGATTATAATTTTATATAACTAAAAAATCTTTTAATTAATAATTTATTTAAAATCATTTATTTAAAATAAGTAATTAATAATTTTGAGTTTTTACTATAAAAGTTTAATTAATTTTATAACTGTGGTTCCCACAGGTTATAAACTAATGAGATTATAGATTGGTACAATGATATTACTATATTTATACACATATTTTGTGCAATGTTTTAATAAACTAAGTTATGGTTATATATATATATATATATATATATATATATATATATATATATATATATATATATATATATATATATAACATAAACGATACTTAATATGTTTTGGATTTATATTTTACAGATAATTCAACCTGTGAAAATGTAACATTCCAAAAACCATGATAAAAAAATCTTTTTTTATAAAAATTATTCCACAAACCATAAGATAGTAATCCATTATTTCAACACAAAACCATAGAATCAAAGTATCAAATCTCTCAAAAACATAATCAATCATGAGGATGTGTACGGTCACGCATTTGCCTTGTCCCGATCATCTTATATACCTGAAACCAACAATTGTAAGTCAAAGCTTAGTGAGTTCCTCCAAAATACCCCACACAATAATACATATACAATGCATGTATATTGGGTCCACAATATCAGTCTGGATTGCCCCTGAGTCCACAACATAAGACTGGATTGCCTGCTCCTGACCCACATCTCATGACTGACTTACTCTTAATCCCATATCATAAGACTGGATTGCCCTCCCAGCCCTCAACTTATGACTGGATTTCTCCCGGGTTTGTTGGCTTACAACACAAAGTAGTATTGCCTCAACCCAACTGTACTATGTCGACATATGCAACAGATGAAAAAATAACCAAAAAATACATGTAATCATACAGATCTACCAATCTAACATATCATTACAGCATAGCAACATCCTATACATAAGGACACATAACTCAATCTAGTGTGTCGACATTGGTGCCTTCGACCCACAAGTACAGTGAGGAAAACTCACCTCAAAGTCTAGAAGGTAGTTGAGCTGATCACAAATCCAAACACCAACTCTATAGGTCACCTATACAACAAACATGGACCAAGTCTCAATCTACAACTCAAAATGTTCCCTTTGACCTAAAGTCAAAAATTGGTCAAAGTCAACGATCAACGGTCAAAAAGTCAAAAGTCAACTTCCAGCTAATCTACTCCCAACGTAACAGCTCTACACCCTGCGTAGAGCCTAAGGTGGAAAATACAGGGAAAATCAGGGCTACGCCCCGCATAAGGGGATTTACACCCTATGTAAACCCTTGATGCCCTAACTTAATTATTAAGCCCTTCATTCAGACCAACAACTCTTCTAACTTCCAGATCTATATCTTATAAATGTCTTAATGGATAAAGTCTCTGACTTTATCCATTTGCATGCATACCAAGGGCACAAAATCATAACCTAGGTCCAAAAGTCACCCAATGCTCAAGAACTCATGCATGGATGGATGAGAGTGACCAAACTCTCATTTTTGTGACTTAACAACTCTAAAAATGTCTAGTAATGATACTCCAATTCTCTGGAGTAGCTCTTACTCATACTCACCATGGGTATGGGGACAAAAGCATGAAACTCTTAGCATAACTAGATCTAATCATAAAATGACATCAAGGTGGGAAATTTATACCTTCTTGAGATGGTTGAGTGTATGAAACTTTTGGATTTATACTGATTTGATCTCCCAAGTGGTTCCATAATCTTCTTCTTCTTTCAAAAGTGTACACAAAACACTCTTAAGGATCAAAACTCACAAATGGGGATTACGGTTTCTAAGAAGGTTGTTTGGGAGGATAGAGGCTGAGGATGGAATCTCCCTATTCTAATAAAAGAATAATTTTATTCTCCGTTTGACATGTGCCACCATATTAGGCCTCCTAATTAATGCATATTTTATTCTTTTTTTGTCATATGTCACCATATTATGTCTCATAATTAATGCATGTCATATGTCAACCAAATGATTCACCATTTCAAATTTCAAATTTTAAAATTCTCACTCTAATTACATTAAATTACT